GAGCTCTTGCAAATTGTAGCCTCTTTTTCCTATTTGTAGTGGAGATGAGTGGTACCCGGTGGAGTCTTCTGCTGTTGTAGCCCATCCGCCTCAAGGTTGTGCGTGTTGTGGCTTCACAAATGCTTTGCTGCATACCTCGGTTGTAACGAGTGGTTATTTCAGTCACTGTTGCCCTTCTATCAGCTCGAACCAGTCTGGCCATTCTCCTCTGACCTCTGGCATCAACAAGGCATTTCCGCCCACAGAACTGCCGCTCACTGGATGTTTTTTCTTTTTCGGACCATTCTCTGTAAACCCTAGAGATGGTTGTGCGTGAAAATCCCAGTAGATTAGCAGTTTCTGAAATACTCAGACCAGCCCTTCTGGCACCAACAATCATGCCACGTTCAAAGTCACTCAAATCAACTTTCTTCCCCATACTGATGCTCGGTTTGAACTGCAGGAGATTGTCTTGACCATGTCTACATGCCTAAATGCACTGAGTTGCCGCCATGTGATTGGCTGCTTAGAAATTAAGTGTTAACGAGCAGTTGGACAGGTGTACCTAATAAAGTGGCCGGTGAGTGTATATTATCTCTCCATATGCACATACTTTATTAAATAGAAAGAAAGAAAAATATTGAAAAATGTCTACACACTCTTCCAGCCTAAGGTAAAGTCGTTATGTAGATCCATTAACAACGAAAAATGATGCATTTACTGTAAAACTTTGGCATTCTGGACACCCCTCTGGCTCTGCCACTGCTCTTGAGGCTCACATCGGATCTTCTGGATCTTTGATTAAAGATACATTATGTAATTTCTTTTGCCACTAGGGGTCGCTAACCTCTTACAATAACAAAGGCGTAGATTGATGACGCAAAATTTCCTGCGGAATTATGGAACTTGTCAGTTTATTAGACGAATTAAACTTGAGGTAAGGCAGCGCTGTTTCACTTGGTCTACACTATCATAAAACACCATTTGAGTGTGTTGAAAGTTATAATGTTATTCTATGTGTTAGTTTGTTGGCTGTATGAGACTAGCAGTAAACTAGATCAACATTAGAATAACATACAGATCATATTCTAACATTTCATTATGTTGAACTATATAACATTGATTAGTTTTATGTTTGCTCACCTGTCTAATAACGTAACTTACATGTAAGAGCTCTGTCAAGTCGAAGTTTGTCACGTGGAGCTCTCGGCATCTCGAAAATCCCACGCTGACATTGATCCTCTTTTAGTTCTCCTTTATTCCCAAAGTCTGCTTGCCATGGTCCATAATGTTTGAACGAAACAACAACAATAGCGTGAGCGTACAGCTAAAAGTAACGCAGTTGTCAACGTCTGTCGCCATGGTTACTATGGCAGTACTACTAGCGGAAACCATAGACAGTAAAAGAAGGCGGAAACCAGGGATAACGCGGATATTACGTCATTGACAGGCGACAAGTGAACAGGGATTCCGGCCAAGTATTTAAAATCGGAATTTCTCTGAAATTAAAAATCTTTGGGAACTTTTGAGATATTGTAAGTACACAACTACAGAAAATATATCACACTGTGCAAGTGATTTTTGGATATTTTATTACAAAATTCTTACATATTGTACCTTTAACAAAAAAAAAAAAAGAGAGAGTTGCACCAGTTGTGCTATTGAGATGGGAATGCTAATGGACAACTTTCTCCAGGGAAACCTGTTTGAAAACAGGCATCATTTTCCCACGGTTGGTGCAACTATTCTTCTGTAATGTGATTTATTTCCAAGTGAAACAGGCAATTAAACAAGAGAGAATGGAGCCACTTTGAATGCATTTTTGCTTAAAAATGTAAAAAAAAAAAAAAAAAATTATTTGATTATTGGTCAAAATCCAAAAAAATATTTATGCATAAACTTAAATAGTTATTTATCTCAGGCCTTTATCTTTTTTTGGGAAAAGATACGGCTAACTTGTGTTAGAGCTCCAATTAAACTGTAATGGGTTTTTTTAATTGTTTTTTTATAATTCTAAATTCTTTTGCATCTGGAAATAAATGGAATTCAACTGAAAAGAAAAAATAACATATGTGGACATAAAAAAAACCCATTTACCATGCACTCTCTTTCTCCACAGATGATCGAATGAAAGATGCGTTTTCCTGAAAATGCAGTCACGTTATTGTTGCCTAAAACGTGGGGTGGCTCATTTTACCCCACTGTTTCAGTAATAATTAAATGTAATGCTAATAAAGCCAATAATTATAAAGTAATATAGGTAGTCAAAGTGAGATCAAATTTGATTATGTTTATTTGACTGATCGTATTGTAAACGATTAAGTTTAAATTGATATTTAAGTTATATAAAAGTTTCAGATTGAAAGAATAGGCCTACTTCAAAGAAAAACGACATTGATTTGAATCATCAAAATGATTTAAAAAATGGTCCGCTCTTCCCCACTGCATTTTTAAAGACCGTCCAATTTGCACGGTTAAGAGGCTTTTAGGCAAAAAATTGGAATATGGCCTAATAAAATTCATTTAATCAAACACAGCCCCGCTACGTTGTGTGACTAAAATAAAAGAGGATAGAAGAATGGGGTGGTGGAGGATAGAGGAGATGAGAACCGGACACGTTGTGCTTTTCCGCCGTCTCCCAGCGGGAGTGTAATATCGTGGCTCCTGCGCGCTGACACGCGCACCTGGAAGTGCCGCTATGCTGCTCGCAGCACTGCACCAATTATAGCGCAACATCTCGCTCTGCCGTTACCATAGTAGCGCCGTGCTCCTGTTCCCCTGGAACGAATGAACCGTGGGGGAGCGAATATCTTATCAACCATCGCCCTGGTTACCGCGCTCTCTCTCTCTCTCCGCGCGCCCCGTCGCTTGAGTGAGAGGCCAGAGCCCTAGCTGCGAATGTGTGTGTGTGTGTGTGTGTGTGTGTGTGTGTGTGTGTGTGTGTGTGTGTGTGTGTGTGTGTGTGTGTGTGTGTTTGGACAGAGCTGCAGACGTGAGCACAGAAGGGTCTGGGTGATGTTGATAAGACTGAAGGAGGCTTTGCAGCGTCCCTCAGCCGCTCTGTGATCGTGGCCCATCGTTTCAAACGTGCACACGCACGCTAAATTGCATGCTAATGAATCAGATTTGCTCGGATAGAGATTCGCGTTCACGTCGCAAGTGGGGCAGGGTGGCGTTCAAATCGTTTCTGATGGCCGTGCACCTGGAGGAGAAAAAAAACACGCTCGGCCTCCTCTCCACGCAACCCCCACACACACTGCGCTTGCTCTCTCCCCATGCGGCCCTCTGGCTCGCTCGCTCTCATCGGATTGATGGCCACGAGGAGTGAGACAGACAGACGCGGCCTGCAGAGAGAAAAAAAAAAGCTTTCACACTCTCATTCACTCCTACACTACGGACAAAAATATCACGCTCAGTTCACTGGTTTAACCCACCCACAACACAAACACACACTCGCGCACGGTTCAGTCAGAGGAAAATTATGAGTGCTCATTGATTTCACCTCACATGACTTCTTCCATCCATGACTTTAGTTGTGGACACCAACCAAAAATGAAAATTAATGTATCAAATAAACACATTTTAAAGAGCTTACAGGGATAGTTCGCTCAAAAATGAAAATTCTGTCATTACTCACCCTCATGTCGTTCCAAACCCTTAAGACTTTCGTTCATCTTCGGAACACAAATGAATACATTTTTGATGAAATCTGAGAGCTTTCTGTCCTTCCATTGACAGCTACACAACTACCACTTTTACGCTTCAAAAAGTTCATAAAGAGTTCAGAAAACGAATTCAGAGGTTTAGTCCAAATTTTCTGAAGAGACTCGATCGCTTTATATGATGAACAGATTGAATTTAGGCTTTTATTCACATATAAACATTCATCAACAGACATCAGTTGTGGTAAACTGAAACTCAATGTTCGCTTGACGTGGGAGAACCAATGAGGTTCATTCCTGTGTTACGCAGCACGTTTGAGCTTTAGCAAGAACCAATGAGGTTCATTCCTGTGTTACGCAGCACGTTTGAGCTTCAGCAAGAACCAATGAGGTTCATTCTTGCGCGTCAAGCCTAAATTCAATCTGTTCATATATAAACGCGTAGAAGTCTCTTCAGAAAATTTGGACTAAACCTCTCAATTCATATGGATTAGTTTTGGGAACTCTTTATGATTTTTTTGAAGCGCCACAGTGGTAGTTGTGTAGCTGTCAATGGAGGGACAGAAAGCTCTCAGATTTCATCAAAAAGCTCTTCATTTGTGTTACGAAGATGAACGAAAGTCTTACAGGTTTGGAACGACATGAAGGTGAGTGATTAATGACAGAACTAAGGGTGAACTATCCCTTTGATAATATCTCAAGCTCAAGACAAGTAATAATCATTCATTTAAAAAGGTCATCATCATGCAAATGCTATAGAATATAACATATTTCGACATGGACTATAGAAATGTTTGGTTTGCACCTCGGTTTATTAAATTGAGGACTGCCAAGACCTCAGAATGTTTGGCTTTGGACACAAATACATGCATTCATTTACGCAGACCAATAAATTTGGCCCCACACGGCACGGGAATGGCGTGCTGTTGGATTTTGTCTTGAATTTGTTTTGGTACTGTGCATTTCACTCAGTCTAGATCAGTATTTGAGCTGGAGTGGACCTGTTCAGATTGAAGAAGAAAAAAAACACCAAAATGACAATTACAGCTAAAAATAAGTCACTTATCCAACATGTTGTCCATGTTATGTGGTTAGCCTAAAGCCCCTTTCACATGACTCGTGTCAGGGCTTCAGTGCACGTCTCAACACAAGCGTCATGCACTTTGACGCTCACATGAAAAGCGTTACAGATAACATTAGAGAAGGCCGATTCACGAGTTTGCTGGGTAGAAAGAAACACATGAAAATGAAAGAGCTACCATTTATATGAGCTTAAAAAAATCCAAGAAAGAAATGTGGGACAAGAGTTCTCAAAACTGCTCTAGACCTGGGGAGATCTACCTACCTTCAGAGTTCTGATCTGTCTGTAATTATCACGTGCTCCTGAAGATCTTAATTAGCTTGTTCAGTTGTGCTTGATCAGGGTTGGAGCTGAACTTTGCAGGAAGGTAGATCTCCAGGAACAAGATTGGTTACTCTAGACGATGTGTCGTAGAGCTCAATGTGTCGCAATGATACAAAAGGCGAATTGTCTGGTAATCCCTGTCTACATTATGAAAACTCAATGACAAATGGGGTCAAAGTTGAAAAGGTCGAAACGAGCGTCTCAGAACAACGATTTCACGCAATGCTTGCTGAGAATTCAATGACATGAATCATGTGAAAGGGACTTAAAGGAGCTCTGGAACTTAGGGTAATTCAGTAATAAAACATCCTAATCAGAAATATTATCGTAAAACATCAATAATTTCCTGAATTTTGGCAGTCCAGATGCTTAGGACTGTGGTTTCCATCTGACCAATCCCATAAGGCTTGAAAATGCGTGAAAAAGGAGGCGGGTCCTACGCGTAGCTGGTATGCAAATACACCATCGGCTGGTCTAAATGTTGTCGTTCCACCAGCTTCACCTTCCCTCCAATCTCAGCAGGCCTTCAGCATTTAAAAACAAACAACCAGAACGACAAACCCAAAAGGACCTTTCAAACATGTTTGAAGTAAGGGATGCTACATTAGAGTGTTTTTCACGGTCATCTTCGTATCAAATATTGAGCAACTTGAAAACTGTTTGACATATCAAAAAACGAAACGAAACGAAACGAAAAAGGCAATCGTAACATTGAGGCAGTCAGTAAGAACCACTGTGCTAAATTACAATAGTGCTCCTTAATTATCACAAGCTTTAAAACAGAGCCTTGGGATTACATTCTCTAAACGAAATTACGGCATTTCTCCACACATGGACAAACAAAACCACTAAACACACAAATAAAAATGATTGTCCGTTTTCCATTTGGCGGCAAATAGTTCCAGAGCATCCAATAAAGGGCAAGATTCTGAAGTAGAACTCAGATGGTTCCTCAAATGGAACAGAGGAAAAACAGAAAAACGGAATGACAATCCGCCATTCACTGTTTATTTTTGGTTCAGGACATGTTCGTTTTCAAATAGTGCTTTCATTCCGCTCTTCATTTGTTTGATTTGTTTGTGTGCACCCAGTGTTTACAAGCGCCACGCCGTTCCGAGTGGGAGTAGCGTCACTTTCCATCGGGAGTCCTTCATTATGGGATGGAAGTCATGGGGGGGAGGGTCCAGCTGCCCTACGGAAACCATCGGAAAGGAGCTCCGGTTGGCAGCATCACCTTCTTGGAAAGACAGGAAAGACAGAGGAAGGAAACGAGGAAGAAAAACAGCATGAGTCATTGATAATTCAACATAAACATAAACAATGGAGCAGTAAGAAAATAGGAAATGTCTCATTAAACTGGACTCTCAACTCTCATCTCCAGACCGTTTCCCGTTTCTGTTGCAAATCCCTCTCTTTCTGCGGAGCCAGACTTGCTAAGACCGTAAAGGGCTGAAATACCGCAGTGGTGCAAATGGCAGATTTTTTCCCAGCCTGCTTTGGGACTGGGCAGGGGTAGTCTATGGCTCTGGGACTTTGGGAGAGTGGAGACAACGGCAGCGTTTCCTGGGAAGACGTCCAGAACGAAAGAACGAAGGACCGAGGGAGAAAAAGAGGGAGGGGAGCGTTCCCTTCATCATGAAGTAACATGCACAGGCAATGACTTCACCTTACATGACCTAGTCCTTCTCTCTGTTTCCCAAACACACTCTCCCACTCTCTCATTACTCTCTGACAGGGCTTTGGCGTTTGTATGCGCGCACACACGCATCCAGACCCCCTTTTCCCTCATCGACCCCACAGACAAGCCAACACAGATGGGCTGTCGGCCCATGCACATGGCCAATCAGACAGAGCGTGAGTGCATGGACAGACACACGCTCTCTGTTACACACACACACTCACCAGATTAATTCCGAAGGTTATTTTTTAACCCATCATCTCCTCTGTGTCTCAAACACAAAAAATAGGCATTATGAATGTTTTATTATTAATAATAATAATATTGTTTTTATTATGAATAATAATTATGAATTATAATAATTATTATTGTTATTTATTATTATTGCCGTATTTGTTGCTGTTTCTGCAATCACATTTATTGCTTATTTCTGAATGTTGACATTAATAATTAAATTATTAATAAACTATAAAAAAAATCATATGAATTTGAATTATTATTAATAATGCAATTCAATGTATTGTTTATTTTCTGAAAACAAAATTATCACAAATTTTATAATTATTATTAATATCATTTTATGATATTTGTAATTATTACTGTTTATTTCTGATGCAAAAAACAATATGCTTTAAATTAATATTTGTATTATTATATTATTATTATTATTATTATTGTGAATATTATTGTTTTGTTCTTTTTCTTTTTTGGAAACCCACCGAATTGTGGGAATTTATCGCTAGATTTAATACTAAAGAACAAAAAAAACTATTAAAAATCTGGTCAAACTATTCATCGTCCTATCTCTAATAAACATACAGTAGACATTTCGTTAAAGTTTTTGCGCGAAAATTTGAGTGCTGTTTGTGCAGAAGTCATTGCCACAATGCTAAGGTGTTGCTATGCAGTTGCTATGGAGTTTGTAGTCTGTTTTTAAGTATCTGTCTGTAGTTCTGTGGTTGCTAGGGTGTTCAGGCAGGTTGCAAGCTCCTCTCTACAAGTCTTTTGATTTTAGGTATCAGTAATGTCTGTAGCACCAACAGTATGAACAATAGTGATAGTGATACTTGCCTTATCATACACCACTGAAGAAATGTCCGATGAGAAAATGTATGTAAGCAGGTACAGATACAGTATATGTTGCTATAATGTGTGTCTGCCTGTCTTTGCCTCTCACACACATACACATACACAGACACTGACACACACTTGTTCCTAAAATACTTTAGTCGCCTGGCTGTGAGACTGAGATTCCTCTAGAGGAAGGGGGAGGGGCCTGTCAGGCAATGTCTGAGGCCCCGCCCACTCAATCTCCTCCTACTTCCAGCTATCAGGGACTTTCCGAGATACCGGTCACCACACAGATGGAGTGAGATGTGTGTCATCATGCAGTAAACACACATCAACAAAAGATGCAAGCAATGACATGCAAGGTAAGATCAATGGCCAGAAATCGAATGAGATTTGCACAAAACGCACAGGCCTAAGCTGGCTCAAAACACATAAAAGGCCCTACATATAAAAACATCTATCCATCCCAAACACACACACACACACACACGCACATCAAGAAGTCAATAGACCCCCACACCACTGACTGTGACCTGTCAATAAAGGCTCTTTAAACTCCATAAGTCCTCTATGCCGTATTCAACTAGACCAACCCCACTGTCAATAAAAGCACACAAACACACACAGTAATATACGCAAACCCACCGTCAATAAATGCCTAAAACATTTTAAAAACACACTGAGAAACATTTATTCAAAAAACATGCACATAAAAAGCACAAACCACTATCAAGACAATAAAAACCCCAGTTATGCTTCCAGCGATAGAACAACCTAGCATCATGTGCTGCATATTATGCTTGCTACAGACATTACAAATCACACTGTACAACATTGATTTAATAAACTTGGGTACGACATGCATGTAGACTGTACGATGAGGACGGCATCTATTGAATCGTAGTCTACATTACAACACGAATTAGTATAGAAGAATAAAACGTCATCGGCATGCGCTAGTGGTAAACAAATAGAGCAAGATGAATCGCACTTTGGCAATTGTGGGTTTTATGTGCGCTGAACTAATAAAAGACGAATAAGTGAAAGATGAGATTATGGACGCAGTCATGGCTAGATAGGCATGCCGATTTTGCAAATGGAGCTTGAGGTTGAGGATCGCAGGCTATTTCTGGTCGCAAGACCATGACAACGGCCGTCTTTGAACATCTCTCACTGTACGACGTAGGACCACCGTTTAGGAGCCACGACCACAGAGATCACCAGAAACTGATTCAGTGTCATCATGTAATGTAATCTCAGCAGTAGTAACGTTCATATGCGTTATTAGGGCAACTAGGTCAGCTAGGACAGCAACACGCAGCAGTGTGAACAGGGCTTTAGGCAAGAAATATACTCTACGCAAGTATGCAAATTCTTGCTTTTCCGTTGTTTTTGTAGTAAACATGCGCTAGACCGACATGTTCGAGCGTTGCACTCTTTTGTATCATCTTTCCCATGAAACAGCGTTCCAGAAATGCTCCGCTCAATTATTCCACGGCCCTGCTTCTCATGTTAAAAAATTTTTTTTAAAAGCAAAAAAACACGATCTGTGTGAATCACCTCTTAAGTGTTACGCATCTATAAACTAAAAATGTAAAATTGCTTAGCAAGATTATTTTGAAACGGTTGCCAGCGATGACAGTGTTGACCTCGTTTTTGCATTCCACGGCGCTGCTTTTCCATTGCTTTTCTATGTAAACATGTGTAACCCCTCCACCCGGGTCCCACTCGACCCGCTCCGAGCGGGCCTAGAACCCGGGTCTCCGGCATGAGAGTCAGGCGCTCTAACAAGGAGGCTAAATCAATCAATTTAATGCAGCCTCTAGCGTCTGTCGCTAGAGCGCCTATTGAGATCAGAGGAGTGAGGTTTACTCGCACAGCAACTACTAGCTGGCCTCCGTTACACTCACCCCCCTAAACCTCATGCACTAGTTGGATGTGTTTGACCGTTGCACTCGCAGTGTTGCCCTGCCCTGTTTCTCAAAAACACAGAAACACATTCTGTGTGAATCACATATTAAGAGTTACCAATCTACAAAATCTGCTCAAGTAAAAAACAAAAAAACAAATGTAAATATTCAGCTTAGCAAGATTATATTGAAACTGTTTCCGGCCATGACTGTAGTTGACCTGAAAGACAAAAACTCACTACAAAAAAAAAACAGTTTATGCAAATTCTCACTTTAGCACTCCTTGTGGTAACATATTTGTGTTGCATTATAGATTAGAAATATGACAAATTGTGAAAATGTAGCTAGAAGCGTTTGCATTCACATACTTGCATCAAGTGTATTTTGGGCCTTAAGACTTCATAGAGACACAAACACACACACAAACTAAGCCCTCTAAACTTTTGCACACACCAACACCTCTAACTCTACCTCCTCAAGGCTGTAATTCTCAAAGAAACCGGGCTGGTCATTGGTCAGTACACACACATATACATAACTCCTCTTACACACACAAAGTCCATAATGACTTTCGCAGGGGCTGTGTTTGCCTCTTCCTGCAAGGTTGTACACACAAGCAGACACACACACACACACACACACACACGTGCGGTTCAGGGCCTCTGGAGGACGAGAAAGAGAGGGGTTCTGGGACACATTGACACCTGGTGCTCCAGATGACAGACGCAAAGGCCAGATGGACCATATGAGGCTGCCACACACACATATAGAGACACACATATGCACATGCATGTATGCAAACATGCATGAAAACAAATTCATATGCACAAATAAAAACTGCCATGCTACAAAAAAAAACACAGTCACACAACATGTACGAAAAGCCCCATATGCACTCATACAAATAATTTTATTAACCTCCCTAAATCAGAAAAAGTTTGTAGCATCAAGGAAAAATGCAGTCACATTTACCATTGTTTCACAGCGAAATCCAGTCATTTCAAATCCACGCGATCTGGAATTATATGTGAGGAACGAAACATTTCCCCACAAAGATTTTGCAGGTCACGTCGACCAACAGAAAGCTGCTTGGTTTGAAAGTGACTTCTGTGTGAGCTTTTTCATACGTCGTCGCTACACTGTTGACAGACCTTTTTTGCCTGCAAAATTTGTTAATGTGACCACACCTTTAAGTCTCTTCACGTCCTGATATAGCAATCACTAAGTTAAGTGGTCTAATATGTAAATATCGTCAGTGGAAGACCATAAAATATTCGTCCAATAATTGCATTCGGTCCGATGTCCTACCTCGCCTGTCAACGTATGTATTTTCATACCTCCGCCGCGCATGCTACTCATGCAGACGTCACACGTCATCAGCGCGTTTCGTGCTATGCAGAGTTATTAGACAGACGGCAGTCAGCGAGCACCGAAACAGCAGCCACCTCTTACAGTCCCTCCTGAACCAAAACAATGAGCCTTGCTACGTTCACGCCATAACTGTAATTTGTAAGAGATGGAAACCCCTGACGTTATACTCCGAGCGGTTAATGACTCGAATTTATGTTTCAATGGCAACACTATCAACGCCGAAATGAATCTGCAGCAGTCAGGTGGTACAGGTCAGAGCTCTTTAAGTTGTTTATGGTCATTATTATTGTAATGTTATGTGCTTTGAGACATGAGGTAGTTTAACGGCGTCTCTCGTGCCGCTTTTATTTGGTCCCTGCTGTAAGCATTCATGTGTTTTAAAGGAGGCGTGGCTTTGGAGACGCTCTGAAGGGAGGGTGGGATCGCATGCTTTCAAAGCTAGCTCGCTATTGCTAGCCTCTCCTAAAATTCCCTACCCTAACTTTAATGCAACAAAATCAGAACCTCTTTATTTAATGTTTAACATACAGCTGTATGGAGCAGGATTTTGGGCCATTGAGATTTATCTCTGGGCGGAGCCATTCAGTTAGCATACTATCACACTCTTGCTACAGTATATAGTATGTGGACACTTTCTACAATACCTGGATGACATATGCCAGATCTATTTCATTGTGTCCCACAATGCATTGCACTTCTATTTCAAACGTGATGCATGATTTTTATATAATTTAACAAATAATTTAACAAAAATAAAGGAATCCTGCATATTGCTATGGCTTGCAAATCTTATTTTGATGTTTTAGTCATGCGACCTTCATGTGACCATCATGAAGGTTGCATGACTGAAATGTATTAAAATAAGTTTTGCAAGCTATAGCAGTATACAGCTTCCTCTATTTTAGTTAGATTATTTGCTTATTCTTATGCACCTGGTTATAGGATTATAGGAGTTGCAGTGGCATTTCATTGATCTTTTTTACGAAAATATTAATAAAAAAAAGGCAAAATGACCATTTTATTTCCAGTCATATGCGATGTGATAAGGTCACCTGACAACAGTTTAGCATATTACCGTTTAAACAGTTTACAGTAAAATAATGTCTACTGTTTCACTTACTATTTTTAAAGAATATTACACGCTTTACAGTGCATACACAGTATTCGGTAGGTAGTATAGTTTTCCATTTCCAAACATAGCAACTGTCTGAATTTTGAATAACATAATCTTACAATTTCTGCAAAATATACATAAATATATGTAATAAATTGTAAGAGTGGTATGCTAGTATGCTTTTCCAAATTCAGCTTTATAAATGGCATGGCAGTAATCAAGTATTAGCGTGTTCAAGACCTCCAGGGAAGTTTGTATTTTCGAGTTATTACGATGTGCTTTAAATTAAATTATTAAATATTCTATTGTAATTGTTCAATACTACGGTATTTTATACATGCCAGTTTGTTTAATTGTAAATGAAAAAATTTATCATTTTAGCAAATTGACCATTAATACAGACACTGCATCCACTGCCAACTCTGAAATTCTGGCCTTAATGACAATCCCACAAGTTTCCCACTTGTAATTACAACTTGGTGGGATTCATACGCGCTCAACTCATAAATACGATCTTTCCGGCATGACTTGAATGCACGATATGCTGTTGTCTTGTGTGTGTTGGGTAGCCCCGCCCACACTGAAATCTTATAGGTCCAAAGTCCCACATTCAGTCTCTTCCCACACAACACTAGAAACTTGTGCGCTCAACATTTTATATTCATTGTATTCATTTAAATTCATTAAATGTGATAGCTGAAACTCTGAATCATCTCATCATAGCGGGCAGTGAAGGGGAACCTTACCTGTGGAACATTATATGGCTGCCTTAACATTTTCCTTGCAAGGAGAAAAAAAAGCAACCAACTAGACCAATCTTACCATGACACCAATCTCGCAGAGTTATAGACCCTAACTAGCTTACATCAGCACAGACTCAGAGATAGCTTTCCTACACCTGAACCTGCCTGAAAACAAGGCAGAAACATCTCAAGTTACGCTGCCTGAGAGATGGGAAACTGCATTCAGCTTGCCATTTGTCAGAATGAGTAATGTTCATATGCGAACACAAGCAGCATTAATTTCTATGTAGACTGTTTGTAAAAACTAGGGGCTGTCAATCGATTAAACATTTTAATCTAATAAATTACATGATGTGCAGATTAATTAACTACTTAATTAAGTAAATCACAATATATCAATACTTCCTGAGAAATTAAAAGCCATTGTATTATTGTGGCAAACAAACTAGATTTAGAGGCCGTTTACACATGTTATTTTTTTTTAATATGTTCTTTATGGTCATGCGTGAGATGACTTCTTTGGTCAAAGTTCCAGATATTTTTTTTAGTGAGATGCTCAAAAGTTTGGGGTCTGTAATATTTTTTATGTTTTTGAAAGAAGTCTCTTAGTCTCACCATGGCTGCATTTATTTGATCAAAAATACAGCAAGACAGTAAATAGTGTGAAATATTATTACGATTTAAAATAATAATTTCTATTGTTATACGTTTTAAAATGTCATTTATTCCTGTGAATTTATTCCTGTGATGACAAAGCTGAATTTTCAGCATCATTACTCCAGTCTTCAGTGTCACATGATCATTCTAATATGCTGATTTGCTGCTAAAGAAACATTTCTGATCATTATCAAAGTTGAAAACAGTTGTGCTGCTTAATATTTTTGTGGAAAGTGTGATACACTTGACTAGAAACAAAGAACAGCATTTATGTAAAATGTAAAATTCTTAAAGTTTTTACAGTCACTTTTGATCAATTTAATGCATACTTGCTAAGTATTAATTTCTTTAAAAAAAAATAAAAAAAATCTTGCTGACCAAAAAGTTTTGAATGGTAGTGGAAATAGCTACAGAATTTCTGTATAGGTCAGAGGTCATTATTTATTGCATTAATTAGTTTTACTTATTTAAAAAAAGTAACTGTAATTTTAGTAAATTCTAGTCAAATCCACACTCTAAACAACGCTGGGTTGTTTTAACCCAAATTTGGGTCAAATATGGACAAACCCAAATGTTGGGTTAAAAATGTCATTTAAAATTTCAACCCAACTTCAACTTTCACTTTCAACTGTAATTTTTTTAATTACATTTTTAACCCAACATTTGGGTTTGTCCATATTTGATGAGTCCGCACACCAGAAAATGCTCCTAAGTGAATTTAATAGTTGCTCACCACGTGTAACGTTTCGGGCCCAAGCCCTTTGTCTGATGACAGGCTGACAATTGTCTGATGAAGGGCTTGGGCCCGAAACGTTACACGGACTCATTGTTTATTTTTTGCAACTAGCTGTCTGCCCAGCACCCAGCTTTATTGTTTTGGATGTGCGTGCTGCACCTTTTGAACTTTGTCCATATTTGACCCAAATTTGGGTTGAAACAACCCAGCATTTTTTAGAGTGCATGATCGCACAGTAATTTCCGCAAGACTTATTTCACTGTGAAATATGTTCTGCTAGTATTTCATGACTTTAAAATTTTAGACTTTGTGCTTCTTTTGAGGACCGGAAACGATAAGGAGATGAGGGGAGAGAATCAAGAAATGACACAAACCACACTCAAACTGGCAACACCTGCATGAGCATCACAGCTCGACGTGTCAGAAGTGCTGCCAAGTGATTTAGCACATGCGCTCTAATGCATTACGCTGTGGTGCCCGTGCAGGTGATGCTAGTTTGCGGTCATAATTTTGATGAATTTACTGTACATTGCTCACCATCTTACCTCCAGCCCGCCAGCAGGTTTCTTTTTGAGCTCTTCGCACTTGCGGAACTTGCAGATCTGATGGCCGGTTTTCCGGTTGCGGCAGCTGCTGCACTGTTCGCAGTTAATCCTGCGCCGGCAGGGTGGACACAGGCCGCAGCGCTTCCGCTTTTTCTTCCCGTTGGCGCTGATGGCCGATGAAATCTCGCTCTGCGTCTGCTGGTGTTCCGACGCGCCGGTCACGTGAGAAAGCGCCCCGTCGGCGAGGAACACTCCCGCCGGCGTCATTATGAAGAGCCCCGGGTGATACGGAAAGCTGCCGCCCACTCCACCATTGCCGAACAACGGGAAGTCCATCACACTGCCCAGCGAATCAGAAGCCGAGACCGCCTCCATGTCCCCTCCCACACTGACATTGGAAGGGTCGCTGACCGGAAGGAGCATTCCCGCCCGTCGCAGGAGCTCGGCGGCCTGTGCGAGATGCAGGCCGCTCGGAGAGTCCAGAAGACCGGACATTAACGCGCCCCGGTCCAGCTTGGCGTACCCGACTTGTGACCTGTGCTGGCTGGCCGTAGGGTGAGCTTTGACACCCGTCGCCACCATGGAGCTCTGAGCGAGTCTGTTAGCGTTTGCGACGCTGGCGACGGCAGCGGCCGAGCAGGTCGCGATGTACTGCGAGAGAGCCCGTGAGCGCTTCAGGCTTTTGCTGAGAGGAGCGCTGATGATGCCGCTGCGGTTTCTCCGTTCCACCACCGGGGACGTGTCTTCATCCCCGCAGCAGCTGTCCTGCGCCTCCTCATCCTCTACGGCTCGACTTCCCTCCATGGACCCTCCGCTGGCAGACATGGGCCACAGCGTGAGGGGGAGGGAGAGGGAGATGAGGGAGCTTAGGATGAAGGGGGGGGATAGAGTTGCAACGTTCCTCTGAAGACCGAAGCCAAAACCAGATTGACGCGCGCACAGCTGGAGAATCAGCAGTCCACACTAGTCGAGCCTCATGAACATCTTAAACATCCATTCGCTGAGGCCTGAGAATCCTAGAAAGGAAAGATAGGAGATACGCAAAGAGGTTAAAGCAAGCATGGTTTATATGCACGGTTCATGAAGAGAGGCAGAGTGTTTCACTACTGGATAAAAGTTTGAAAATAATTCAGATTTTTTTTTCTGAAGACGACACTTATGCTCAGAAAAGCTGCATTTATTTGATCAGAACAGTAATATTGTGAAATATTATTTCAGTCAAAAATAACTGTTTTATATTTTAATACATTTTAAATGTTTATTTATTCCTGTGATGCAAAGATAAATTTTTAGCATCATTACTCCAGTCTTCGGTGTCACGTGATCCTTCAGAAATCATTCTGCTTTGGTGCTCAATTATTAATATTGGTTCTTATTATCAATGTTGGAAATGGTTTCATGTTTTTGTGGAAACCATGATAGAAGAACAGCATTTATTTGAAATAGAAATCTTTTATTACATTATATAAATGTCATAACTGTCACTTTTGATCAATTTAAATGTGTCCTTGCTGAATAAAAGTATTCTATTTTTTAATCTTTCTTACCTCAAATTTTTTAATGGTAGTGTATCACAATTTCCACAAAAATATTAAGCAGCACAACTGTTTTCAACATTGATAATAATCAGAAATGTTTCTTGAGCAGCAAGAATAATTTCTGAAGGATCATGTGACTGAAGACTGGAGTAATGATGCTGAAGATTCAGCTTTTTAAATTATAATATTAGTTCACAATATTTCTGTTTTTACTGTATTTGGTGAGCATAGGACACTTCTTTCAAAAACATTTTTAAAAATCATAAGTATTCCAAACTTTTGAACGGTGTCCAAACCTAAAGAGCGAGGATTCCTCACAGCACATCATCACACACCATTTTAATATATCTACTGCTTTCGAAATAATCATAATCATATCCCATTTTTATTAGCTTATTGTTTTGGCTTGCTGAAATAGGCACAAGTTCACTGTGACAAACAATCTGCTGCTCGCTTTGGCCTCATCTGACCCTTTTTGATTCCTCAGCCAACATTTATACATAATATCTGTCCTAGATATCTGTTTTAGTGACAATTACGCTTTGTTCGCTGTGCTTCCAAGGAACTGACACTCACTGTGAAGTTAAAAAAGAACAGATTTTGTGTGGACATTGAATTGGACGGTTTGAGTCTGTTAAATTGTTATATTTCATAACCTTTACGTGCAAAAGCCCGTTCCTGGTGACAGCAATTCTCCTTCAGTGAGAGACGTCTATCAGGGTCCACAGGCGGTCTGTTCTATCACGAAACCGGAATCGTGAGCTCAAGCGCAAAGCCCCTGGGGTGAGCCGACAGTGAAATCAGGATGTCTAGGTGCAAGCTCAGCCGCACTGACGCACGTATACGCACGCTCGTCAACGACTTAACATTTCAATTAACTGCCATGCTCAGTAAAGCATGCTATCGGTGATAATTAGAGGAAAAAAAAAAATGACTTAAGGTTGTGAGTGACTGTCTTTGAAGATGATATAATTGGCCATTCATTCAAACAAACATGCATGAATGAAAGAATAAATAAAATAAAAAATAATAATAATAAATATGCACATCAGAGAGAGCAGTTGTCAAACAGGGAAGTTGTCTTTACTATAAGATTTAGAATTTTGGTTTCAAATATCTTGTTCAAAACAAGAGTATTTTTTAACAAAAAATCAGGTTGGGGCAAGTTGTCACATTTTTTAAATGGTATAAATGCATACATTATAGTAATGTTGGTTAAAACAATGGTTTAATACTATTGTGCGTTTACTTGGATGTTTCAAGAATTGTTTTTGTGTTTCAGAGCCGTTTGAATTTTGCTATTTAACTCAGATTTCATTGTGACAATGCTGTCACAAAAGGTCAACATGTGTTAAATGAACTGTATTTCTTGGTGAAATAACAGTGGAAACATCATTAGCCTTTAATGTAATCAACACTATAAAGTTTGTGTCTATATAGGAATTCACTTTAAAAAATAAACATGTGACAACTAGCCCCGGTTATTTCTACATATTTACCATACATAAAAAGTGCACACATGCAGTAAGCTATTTCTAACTGATCTAAAAATTGCACTAATTAGTGAAACCCAATGTATTCAGGTTGATTCAGTCATACTGAACAGTATTATTAAAACCATGTGAAACACACTTTTACTGTACCAGCCGAAACATTTTTACAATACGCTGTTTTCCATATCAAAACAGATGACAATATCAATTACGAGTCATCATCACAGAGTCATGATGGGAATAAAAACTTACTGGAGACATCAGGTACCCCTCAACTGCAGGTAAACCAGGACAAAAGCTGCATCTAGTGAGGGTTTCCATAAATGATTGACCTGGCTTACAGATAAATAAGTTCCTAGCAACAGTTTGAATGCCCACTCAGCAATGTAATACTGAATTACCTCATGTCAAACATATATGAGGCTTGGAAATTGCTGTGTCCAGTATTGCGGCGAGCCAGAGGGACAATAGCTCGACGTAGAGAGATCTGGACATCACCAGGGAACAATAGCCAAACCTGCACAAATAGCCCAACTGTGTCTAAACAAGATGCCCTGCTTATCAAGATCTACATGTTCTGTCAAACAATCACCTCAATTAAACCCTTACTGGATCAATCCCAGCAAAAGACCATAGATTCATTGCAGATATTCACAAAAGATCATTTAAATAATCAAAATGCAAATACCGTACGCACCACGCACAAAAAGTTTGCATACAACTCATAATGGATTAATAATCAGCAGCACATATAACGTGCATTCATACTTACCGTCGTCTCTCCAAGAGACATTCTGAATAATTCAGAAATTCCCACTCGGTATATCCCACATATTTTTATCTAGACAACCAATAAAAACAGAAAATGTCACAATAGTAGCTATGTTTACGGTGACAACATTGCAAGCAAACAACAAACAAATAGCCGTATATTCAACTATTCCCTGCGCCTATTTGGTTACGCGTGGCAAAGTTGCACCAATGCATCTAATGCATATGGGCAAATTATCAAGCAGATGTAACACCGATCATTTAGAAAGTAAAACAAAATCCCTTTTGTCTCATCTCTCGACCGATGTGTCTATGGTGACAGCGCGCGGTATGCGCCAACACGTCGCGTTGGTTAAGCACATTCCCTTGTTATTTCAGTGCCAACTTATTCGTCTTGGCTGGATGTCATTGTAACTTTGAACAGTCCTCAACAAAGTCTCATTCCACTCCCTTTGATAAATCTAGGGTATCTGCATATTTGCAAACACAGGCGTCTTTTCATTCGCACCGCTCGTGAGCCGAGGGGAGCGTTCCGACTGTCCGAGCGGTCCGGTGCTCTCACGCGCTGCGGAGATTTATATAAAAGAGAGAGAGAGAATAAAAGCTAAAAGAGCCAAACGAAAGCAAATGCTCACCCAGACTGAATTATTCTCGTTGTTTCCTTCAATAGCCCCCAAACACCGGCAGATACACGCAGAACGCACTTTGTCCGAGAGCGAGCGCGTGCGCTCCTCCAGCCTCTCGCGTCTCTCTATCCCACCTCCACATCCTCGCGCCCGGAGAAGAACATGCAAACACATTTCATAGATTTTTGGAGCTTCACACAAAAACCGAAGTGGACTTTCCGTCGGGGACAAAATAAATAACCTTTAAGAGGTGTGGACGAGCGCGAGGGGCTGTCTGCGGTGATGCATATGAGAGTGGAATAATGAATGAAGTATAGTTTTGAGAGGGCTGGACACTCAGCCCATTGTTGACTCCATTCTTAATGGCTGTTGGCTGCGCTCGTGATTGATTTCTTATATCAGAACTTTTGCACATTCAGGCTTTCCAGGAACTTGGTGCTGCTGATTGATATTTTAATATGCAAAACACGACTCCAAAATATAACCCCATGGGGTGCTCTGGTAAATGAGAATGAAATGCAAATTCTAAATAATAATGAAAACTGAAACATAATAACAATAAATAATAGCCAAATAATAATAATAATAAAATAATAATCATTTGTATATTGCTATTGCTTATAATATATTTAAATATAATAAATTAAATCAAAATATAATTAATTCATAATTACTTTGTAATATTATTAATAATTCAGGCATTCATTATCAAATCAACATGTCATTAGGCATAGCCTACATTAAATATATTGTTTATCGTATACTTTTATTAATTGGATTCATGCATTTTGTTTGCTGTATTGTTATTGTTTATATTGTGTTTCATATTTTTTTATTAGTTGTTTTATAATTAATGAATATTAAGGCAATCTGTTAATGTATTTAACAGGACCCACAAAGTAGGCTACTCTTATAAAATGTATTAATTTATATTTATTAATGAGATTGATCATGTATTTTATTTGCTGTAGGCTATATTATTGTTTATATTATTCAATTATATTTTTAGATGAATTTTTTTTATTTATAATTAAGACATATCAATGCAATGTATTCATGTATAGCCTATTTAATAGGAGTAGGCTACCCGCAAAATAATCCAATAGCCTGTTTATATTGTTTCCACTGCACATTAATTTCAGTTTCTCTATCAGTCAGCATAAAGAGAGTCAGAATTGGAAGGTGCTAAAGGGTCGTTACCATAATCGTCGTCGTGTTTCTCTGTGTTTGCTGACTTTCTGTGGTCGAAGAGCCATTTTGCTGTGGGTCCATTTGTCCGTCCGTCCGCTCCTCTTCGTCACTTTGAGTCCACTCCAGCTCTTGTGAGCGTCCCGTGTGTCTGGCAGGCGGCCAGCTGAAGTGTGGGGAAGTGACACCGCCAGGGCGGCAGAAATTTTCCTCCGTTTCGGGCTCCTTCCCAATCGCAGACGGGAGCGCGTGCATTGGCTGGAAAGTGGAACAGCTCGTCAGGGACGATCAATGCGGATCGATCAGTGCGGCGCTGCTGGCTGCGGGTTTGAGGGGGGGTTGCGTGTTACAGTCCTCCACAATTGCATTAACGGGAAAGTTTAGGCTTGAGTAAAGTGACACCACTTTACTGCTGCACTTCCCATCATTGTTTTTCCAATTTAGGCCTATGTGTATTCACAAAAATGCTAAACCCTATTTTAGGCGTCAGACTAAGTTTTCCCTTACAAAAAGTTCTGTGTCAAAACCATTGCATTGTATAATTACCATATGCATTCACATGTCACTTAAATACCATAGTCTTAAATACCATTAATCTATAGTATTACCATCATGGTTCAGTCCAAAAACATGGCAATATTACTTTGCACTTACTTTATTTTCAAATACTAGTTACATAACTTACAAAAATGTAGCCTACTAAAAAGGAGCATGGTTATATGGATTTTTTGGGGTTGTGGTAAAATCCATAGTGTTAAACATATGTCATATTATGTACTTTATGTAATACCATGGTAATTTCCCACAACATTTTTATCTTAATGTGATTATACACTAAAATGCCATATTATTTAGTTACGGGACCTACAAAACATTACCATATTACCATGTTTTTTTGGACATGCACCATTGTAATGCCACTGTATCTTTTGGAAGTAATGTGGTGTATATTAATGTGCCATATTACCAACTCATACCACAACTGTACCATGGTGCAGCCACTGTACTTTTTTTGTAAGAGATGGATGGCACTCCATAGTGTTTCAATGAATACCATGGTACATCACAGTTTTCTAAAAACATGGTAGAACTTCGGTAATTTGATATATAGCATGGTACTATGCGATTACCATATTCATATACCACAGTATATATATACATACATAAGCCACTTCAAAGATTTCTAATTATATATTAAGATAAGAAAAATATATTTAATTTATATTAATATGATTAATATAATTATATGATTTAATATAATATAACCATATGCTCATTTGTGTGTGTATATATAAACCGTATATATCCCATGTGGTATATATAAACAAAAAATAACTAATATCATTTTAATAATATACATTTAAAAATATTATATAATTTTTTTTCTTTAGCTTTCTGTACAGCCACAGCATTCCGTACCAATCACTATGGAAGTGGACTATACAGAGAACTGTTCCAGGATGCTTGACTATTCCAGGTTTGTTTGCGAGGTCATTGATCAGACCTTTGGATTCTGAGTTGCATCATCCGCTGAGTTCACCGTGGAGGACGTTCCTGTAGTATTCAGCTAGTGTTTCCCTGCTGTGTGAAAGAACACAGATCATCTCCAAATGAAGCCACAGGATAGATCATGAAAATGGGTGAATAAATAAACAAATACACACTTGCCTTTTCCTTGTGGCCACATAATTCCCAGATAACTTTGAGAGCTGAGCCCTCCTCCTCTCTGAGCTGGGGGGGATTGTGTGGTGGGAGTGGAGGGGGGGATTAACGTCACATGGTTCTCTCTGGCAGCCAGACACATGACCCGCTCCACAGGAGGGGATAAAACCCACTTGAAAGACGACGGCATAGAGACCGAGGGAGAGGAGGAGAAAAAAAGAGAAAGAGATACAGCAAACGTCCGGTTTTCTCAGACGCTGAGGAATGCCGTCAGCCCGCTTCTCCAACACAGAAATGCAGTAGACTCGTTCCCCCTTGAGACCCTCTCCGTATTTCTTCTGCTCTCTCTATTTCTCACTCCTGTGAGTTACCTGTGGTTTTGGGCACCATGTTGTCAGAGCTTCCTGTTTTTCAATGACCGAGATCTCCACGGCCCCCCATCCACATGCTACTTCAGAAAGATGTAGACAAGGAATAACATGCAGACTATTAATGGTCTTGGTATTGGTCTCCATTTCACCTGCAGTTTCTTTTTTAGAGACTTGATTTGAACAAATCCTATGAATTAAACTTAACCTGTCCCATGCCAATTGGACATCAAAGATACCTAAAATTGTTCGGCCAGTTGAGGAGAGGTACACTGCTGTTTGTATTAGCAATTAGACCTAAAATTGAATCTTAAAGACTTGCATTGTAATCGACATCTGGACACAGGAAAATCTTATCTAACCTATCTTTATCTCACTGACAAACATCCTTATTGATGGTAACTAAAGGTTACTAAACAGACAAGATACGGGATTAGTTCAATTATTTTTGTAATACGGCCCCAGAGCCATGTCCAGTGACCAAAATGTAAGACTTAAATGTTGTTTTGACTAAGTGACCACCTAGCAACTGCCTACAACACGCTATTAACCACTGTATCAATCTAAAGTTTTGAAACAACAACAAAAAAAGAAGTTATTTTTAGAATTTGTGATAGTTTAACTGTGTTTATACCAAATGCTGACCGCTGCCTGCAACAGCTTTGCTGCTTTTTCAAAGTTTTTCTGTGTGAACGGCCCGTTACAAACTAAAGGCACGGTCACCAAACAATCTAAATAGGTAGCCTACATTGTGCATTGCCAATAGTGTATTGATGTAAGAAGCACCGTTTAGAGACCACTACCAATCTAATCAGCTTTAATAAATATATTTCTGTCATGACAACTCTTGGAGTGTTTGGGCTTGGTAATGGATATGACAAAGTTGATATGTTTGGTCTTGGCGGAATAGATCTGCTACGCTGCTGTGGGACTTGCTACTGCCAATACACACACAACACACTGCTGTGAGCAAGTAAGACATGCTGCTGCTGTACAGTACAATGTACATGAATTACCCGTAGCAGATCTATACAGGTGGAGCTGGGGAAGGTGGAGGGTTTCTGAAAGCACGCTGCAGAAAATACTGACCAAGTATTTGAAGGTTGAGCAGCGAGCTCATTGGCTACTGATACAGCAGGAACCAATCAGCTGTCCCTATAGAGAATGATGTGATTGCAAGCAGATTGAGTTAATGACCTATCAGACTACGCCATCTAGAGTTTCATGACAGAACTTTGTATTTTGATAAACGCAGCCAATATGCATGTTAAAAGTTAAACAAACATGAATCCAAAAGCAGGACATTTTTTGCCCGTCATGTGCCTGATCCCTTGAATTCCTATTGTGATGACTGCAATTAAGGTGACGTCACATTTACCATTGCTCTGCCAAATAGCCAAATCTATCCAATGGAGTTTCCGTGATTGGGAGTTTCGTGTGAGAGCGAAAAATTCCAGCGCAGATGTCACAACTGATTCAAGTTGGTCACTCGGATTTGCCACGTTGACCAACAGAAAGCTGCTTGATTTATACTGACTTTTCACATTATTGACACTGATTTTTTATATCAGCAAAACGAAAGTGAAAAAAAAATCGGCTAATGCGACCGCACCTTCAAGCTACATAAAACAAACATAAAACCACTAAATAATTTATATGCATACTTTCATAACGGAAATGTATTGATTATTTGATCATCCGCTCCAGAACTTTCAAATACCACTGAAGAACATGAGATGCATCCCAATTTGCGTAGTTATGCACAGTAGTATGACGTTTTGTTGTATAATAGTGCGAGTGTTCACGCTGAAAATTCCAAATATAAAGAGTGCACTTTAAATACCCGGATGATGCACTTAATTAACCGGAAAAAAAAAAAATTGTGGGATGTTGGACACTTCATGCGCTCAACTGTCTTTACTTATGTAGAAGAGGGGAGGGGCTGACAAAATAGCCTTATAAAATTCATACACTACATGGTACAGTGTTGTATAGAGCGTCATTTGGGACACAACTATGGTCTAGAGAAGCTAAACAGATTGGGCTGCCCAGCATTTAAAAATCATCTGAGTCAAGTATTTTCAAGTCTTTGCTTAAAAAAAAAAATCAAAAAATAAAAAAGCCTTTCGTTTTATCTTAAAACCTCACACATTCGTTAGAGCCACAGGGGTGATCACAATATCCTCAAAATAAAAGCAGGAGCAGTGAATTGATAAAGTGGCTCCATCTGCTGGCTGTAAGCAGAACTGCAGCAGGGGATCTTCTAATTTCCTGTGTTTTGCAGCGGTACAGGAAGTAGAGCACATTATCTCCCACATCCTGTTTCAAAACTGTGGGTAGAGATAACCCTGCATAGTGAATATATGCAGAATAGAGCATGAAACAACGACACAAGACGACCATTTCAAATCACGTTTATTCAAAATGCACATTTTTCATTGAACAGCAAAATATACTTATATGCAGTCTTGAAAATGGAACCGGTTTAGTTTTACACCTAATATGGCAAAAACTACATGTTCAAGTCATAATCACTAAAATGTTAATTAAACTGTGCGTAGGAGTTTTGGCCCGCCACTCATCCACATTCATCTGCGCTGTAGTGCAAAGTTGTTTTAGAGTACATTAAAGCACATTTAAATTATATGGGTCGTGTTAGAGTTGGAGAGGAAGACCAAGCGTAAAACCACACCGCATTTACAGTGTGTCTGCTGATGCATGTCTGCAGTGCTACAGGAAGTCCTTGTGTGAACGAGATGCATTAACACTGAGAAGAGAAATCCTCGTCCAGTTACTCTCACCTCCAGTGGATGGAAAACACTGATGGAAACACACACACACACACACTCACTGAATATCTAGGGGTTTTTCTTCTTAATGATCAGGGGTCCGACATTATCACCAGTTTCCTCGTTGTGTTTGGTGTGTGCGCCGTCGCAGTAGGGAAACTGTCCAGGGAACAAACAAATACATACAAATCACAACCACGCATGATGATCTTTCCGAGAGTATGATAACGTATCTGCATGCAACATGTGGTTTTGACATTTATTCCAGCAATTTGCATTAGTACATCGACAGGAAGCTCTTATAGATTACTATGGCGCTTCAGGACGCGGCAAACAGTGACATGAGTGTGTGCATACATGACAGAATTCACAATTATACCTTTAACCCTTAAAAAGCCTGACATTACAAATTATAGTCAGAAATAACTGTAATGAAACAGTTTATTTAACCTTTATCTAAAATGTGTACAGTACATCTAAAAAAATGTGTTTTATGTAGGCCTTCATTTACATTTCATTTACATTAGATGCTTTTGTCCAAAACGACATACAAAACATAATTCTCATATTAATATACTTCTTCATTTGTATCATATTTGAAACAGCAGGATTTTATGGCTCATATAGTATAATTTATGAGGAGGAAGAAAACACCTCAGTAGCCCAAACTGAGCAAAAATATGTTAGTATGTATATGTTATACGTAAGATTGTATAATGTAAATCAGTACATTACAGTTCTGTTTTTGACAAAATGGAAAACGTATGCGTTTTGGCCGTTCATTCACACGACAATGACGTTTGGGGGCCTGGAAACTGATTTTGAAGTTTTTGAAAGTTATTTTATTATTTTTTGTGAAAACGGTGACTTCATGCACATGCATATTACATGTTCAGTCTATATGCTGATTTCACGTAGCCGCCATTTTGAAATCGCTCCGGTGGGAAGAAAACCGGAAGTGTCGCTTTTAATCATAGGAGAGTCGCGAATGCGATGGCGTATTGTTGTGTTTAATGTAGAAATTAGTTATTCTAAAAATGTATATACATTTCTTTCATACTTTAGACTATATACAGTGAAATTCATTTATAAATATATATATTTTTTAATATATAATTCAGAACGTAAAAAAAGAAGCAGGAACGAACTATATACATATCCTATATTGGATATTAATATCCAATAGTGTAAATCGCGGCAGCAGCTTCAGGTTGGTAGTCCAAGGCATTGTTGTCTATCTGTACTTCCGGGGTTCTTCCCACCGGAACCTCGCTTTCGATTTCAAAATGGCGGCTGCGTGAAATCAGCGTATAGGCACATAGTGTCATTTTGTAAAGAAACATCGCCAACTACTGGCATGACAGCGTAATACAGCATTTTTAGTCGTTTTCTCTGATCCATGTGAACGGACTGGTTTTGACAACGTTGGCATCTATAAGCTGTTTACAGGCCCTCTTGAGGAACCTAATGTTTAAGTTTATGGGTCGACTTGATGAGTCAAGAAACTATATTATAGTAAGGCTCACAAGTCCCAGGTTTAGCTCGGTCCGATATCAATCACACCTATGGAAGCATTGGTATGAGTGCCTTTTTAAGATTTTTGTGAAAAAGGGTGTATTGTATGTTTATGTAATTCTTTTTTTGTGTGTGTGTGGTGTATGTCCTGTTGTTGGGCCTAGAGCCTGTAATAAAGTTTATATATATACGCAAAAAAACTCAAAGGAAAAACATTTCTGTTTTTAGTACATCATTGTCATTTAAATGTGACCTTAGCAAGTTGTAATTTAAATGTTAAGTTTTATGATGAAAGTTCTATAGTTTTTATTCAGGTGGGTAAACAGTACAATGATGATTAAGAGGCCATTTATACGACACTGTTTTCGACTAAAAATGGAAAACTTTATGCGTTTTGGCTGTTCATTTACACGACAACGGCGTTTTGGGGGCCTGAAAACGCAAACTTTTGAAAACAGGTTTCAAAGTGCAAGTTTTTTTTAAACAATATCGTTATCTTCTCCATGTAAACTACAAAAACACGAATTTGTGAAAACGGCGACGTCATGCGCATGCGTATCACGTGTTCAGTCTATAGGTGTGTTGTGTTCTTTACAAAGTGACATCGCCATCTACTGGCCTGGCAGCAGAATACAACGTTTTTAGTCATTTTTGCGGATCCCTGTGAACGGGGATCATTTTGACAATGTCGTCATCTGTAAGTGAAAAACGCAAAGGAAAAAAAACTTTTCTGTTTTTAGAACATCGTTGTCGTGTAAATGTAAAAAAGAGATAAACAAATAAACGTTCCTCAAAAGCCTGTCGTCTCAAGTGTTACTTAATTTTATAGAAAAACCATGTTAAAATATGATATAATTAAGTAAACCTAAGTTGCTTCAGTCCAGTATGTGTTCATATTGAAATCTTACCTACGATAAAAGTTATTCTTATGTTTATTTGATAAAAATCAGTAAATATTTCACAGCAGAAACACATGTACACGGCCTGAAGGGGGATGTTTTTAGAATTATACTAAAAGGTCTTTTACTTGCTTAAAAAGTGTAAACTACCAATTAGACGACAGAAGGCATGTAGTAGATAGTGTGCAAGAGGTTTTCAGCAAAGTTTTATTCATGTTGATAATTTAGAGGCCTTAGAATGTCATGTATCAAATATGAAACAGTAGGCTTTATAGGGTTAAAAATAGTTCATACAGATGATCTCCAAACAAACAGACCAGGGGGTTCATTCAGCAGGCATTCACATCCTATTAACATGATTCATCGCGGTGGTTTCACTCACCTTCTTGGACCTCCAGCAGCGGCAGTAGACGGCCTTGTTGCCGATGTCCTCCATGTCGAAGCTGTGCACTACTTTCGGGCTGTCTTTGTTGACTGACATGTTGACCCTGCTCTCGGGACTGCTGTGTGAACTGAAGTAGCGCGTCAGCAGGTATGTGCTCAGAGCCGCAGCCACTGCAATGGGAACGATGGGGGTCAGCTGATCTGCAAATGCACACACGAGGAGGCGCTCGTTTTTGAGAGGGCCGGGTGGTTGCCTGCTCTACACACTCAGCATCACTTTCATTATTAAATGCATATCACATATTTCTATTGTCTAGGTAAGCTTTTGTTTAAACTTTGGGTCTGACGAGGGGGATAAATTGTCTTCTTGATACCAACCTTTCTTTTGAAAGCCACGTGTCTAGTATCTGTAAAACTGCATTTTTCCATCTTAAAAATATATCTAAATTACGCCATTTGCTCTCATTGGGAAATGCGGAACAATTAGTCCATGCGTTCATGACCTCAAGGCTAGATTATTGTAATGCTCTACTGGGTGGTTGCCCTGCACGCTTAATAAACAAACTACAGCTAGTTCAAAACGCCGCAGCTCGAGTTCTTACCAGAACCAGGAAATATGACCATATTAGCCCGGTTCTGTCAACACTGCATTGGCTCCCTATTAAACATCGTATAAATTTTAAAATATTGTTGATTACCTACAAAGCACTAAATGGCTTAGCTCCGCAGTACTTGAGCGAGCTCTTAACGCATTATAGTCCTTCACGTCTATTGCGATCTCAAAATTCCGGCCAGTTGATAATACCTAGAATATCTAAATCGACTGCTGGCGGTAGATCCTTTTCCTATTTAGCACCAAAACTTTGGAACAGTCTTCCTACCATTGTCCGGGAAGCAGACACACTCTGTCAGTTCAAAGCTAGACTAAAAACACATCTCTTTGACCTAGCATACACATAATACATTATAGACTTCTATAAATTCAATGTTAGGCTGCATAGATTAGGTCAGCCGGAACTGGGAACACTTCCCTTAAATCTTGATGTACTCGCTACATCATAAGAAGAATGGCATCTACGCTAATATTAGTGTCTTTGTTTATCCCGAGGTTTTCCCGCAGCCTGCCGGATCCAGGCCGTGTCCAGATCTGACGAAGGAGATTCGCCTGGACCCGATGACAATGCAGTGCTGAAGTATCCACTATCCTCTCCCTATGGAGGATCCCTTTCCCACTCTACAGATAAAGCGCTGTGAATTCCGGCTCGCGTACCCCGAAGTGATAAAATAAAACAAAATTCTGTATCAAAATTTATAGGCAAGAAAAGTAGTTTGTTTAGGCTGGGTTGTATGAATTACAAACCTGCGCACATATTTTAAAAAGCACATAACTATAGAATTCTGAATGAGCATGTGAACGCCGTCAGCGTTAATCACAGGTTCGCGTTTAAAGTCTGATCATTTCGACGGAGGTGAATCAATCAAAGTTAACTTTAGCTGGAAGTAACATTATTCAAGAACCGCTATAACGCCAAAACAATCTGTTACCTTAAATTATATGTTTATCTCTGTAAAGCTGCTTTGAAACAATTCATTGTTAAAAGCGCTATATAAATGAAGATGACTTGACTTGACTTGACTTCTTTTACATGAAAAAAAAATACAAATAAAATAAATAAATAGAAATGCATTTCAAAAATAAGGCTTCTTTTGTGTTGGGAACATGCAGAAATCAGATTGATTGTGGACCCTCAGCCAAGTCCAGCCATCTTAAAACTGAATTATGGGTGTTATGATCTATAGGTAGGGCACTATTTTATATTTTTTCCAAATTCCTTTTTTACAGATTTTTTTCTTCTGAATTCTGGATTAAATATCCGTAATTAAAAAAGCATGTCCAACTATGAATAGTTTGTGGTCATATTACAAAGCTTTCTGGTTTTAATTCATTTTCAAACCTATGATTTTCTATCTTTAATTTCGCTTATTTATATTTTTATAAAGAACATCATAAATAAATTTCACAATTTAATTTCGCCTAATTTAATAGCTCCATATTTTCTGCAATGCATGAATTAAGAAAATCGAGATGAATTACAATTTCACCATCACGCACCAGGAAGTTATTAATTAACAATTATACATACAAAACAAAATTGCCCTTTGGAACAAACAGTTTTAGATAAAATAACTTTAGAATTTTATATCAGTAAACCAAGAAGCTCAGTGCCCAAACAACAAATACACAGCCAATGGTTTGCAGATAAATATTATATCTGTAGCACACAACAAAACAGATGCTGTACAGAAAACAGGTATTTACTGGGATTAGACATATGTCTTTATGTGTCATGTGACCTAAAGTCGTCATGACACCTGGCTGGCCTAAACCCATGAAACTTTATCAGCACTAAAATGTAGTCACGAGTTATGTATGTATAAGTATCAATATGTCGACACTGATACAGACTGTGTAAATCCAGGTTGGATGTTAGTGGTGTTTAACTGCGTCCGAAATCGCGTACTATGTGAGTAGGTTCTACATTTGTCTCTCATCTTGGTCATGTGAGAAGGATTCACTGATTCACCTAGGACTGTTCAACTGATTTCCACGAATCGGTTCTTATGAACAATATTCGTTTTGCAATTCTTCGAGACGTCATCACGTGATCACTGACATACTCGACATGACATACTCTAAAAACTGTCATAAAAAAGAGTTGTAAACACATCGCTGCAAGTACGTGAAAGCTAAAACGTGAAAGAATCGTTCAGACCGATCTGTTTCAAATGATTAATTTAAAATATTCTATAAATAACTCAAAATAACTATTCGTTCTATGTCATGTTTCCCGAGATTTGAACACAATCGAGTTTGTCAAACTCATGCTTTGCCGCATAACACATGCTGTACAGTGACATATCATCAAGATGTAGTTTTAATTATTGCCTATAATTGCATTGATTTAAATATCCAAAATGCATTTTATAATGCCTGCACTTATGATATAATAACGCGTGCATGCAGTAAGCGTGTTTACATGTTAGAATCCCAATTTAATATAACTTAATCTAAAATCATTTAAAATCTAAAATGAATATAATATGCGGATTCACAGCACTAAATTGAACATGCCGACAAATATGTGTTGATTCCTTAGCATTGCTAGACAACAATCGATCAAGGTTGCCGTCGGCGTCGGCTTTATATTAAAACAGAAATCGTTCTTACCTTTAGAAACCTTGAAACCCGGAATTAACCCCGGTTTAATCAGAGCTGAAAGCCCAGGCACTTGAGATGCCATGACGGTAGACTTATAACTTCAAGTTTAAGGGCACCACAAGGTCTGAAAGACGCTGAACCAGAGGGACGCCGTGACTGCGGAAACTCTGCGTGATTGCGTCACTGAACACCTGACCAATGGCTGGACAGCGTGATCTACTCGCACATGGTGTGAACATGGGGCCCAAATCCCTTCTTAGTGCTCCACTAATAGTTTGGTAATGTTTTAAGTCTTGATATTTAAATATTTCGTAATATAAAATGTTGCATAAACCACAAAACCTCGACTGAGCGTTCACTTAACTGCAAAAAGGAATTGAAGCATCTTTAAACTGTCAGTCGACAAAATTTCATATTGAAAAAGAATGAAGAACCAAAATATAAAAATCAGTAAATAATTCAAATGATTTTAATTATTTTGCAATTGCCCATAACCCAAATTGTTAAACATTTCATGACACCTTCTTGCAACAAACATACCATAGTTAGTAAAATAATTACTTTTCTGAAATATTAGAGTAAATTGCAGTGCATGGAATAAATTCACCACAGAACAAGGCTTAAGCTAGTCCAGACTAAAATGCATGTTAAGCTGTTTTAACTGAAAGCAACTTGCACTGACATATCTTAAAATATGTCGGTGTCATTCATTGAACTTCATTCAAGATGCACACCAGTAATGATTTTTCTAAGACACGTTTATAAAAGCTACTTAAATATCCTAATTGAACTAAGGCCTGCCCTGTTTGTAAAACCAAGCCTCAGTCACTTTACTTTCAAGTGCTTTGCTCCTCCACACCAAACTGGAAAAAGCTCCTATAAAGTGTATGAATAATTATGGGGGAAAAAACTTGCAACTTTAAGCAATCATTTTGCAATTGATTACATTTGTTTTCTGTCAAAATGACCACTGATTGGGCAAGCAGATAAGTAATTTTACTTTACTATAAAACCAAAACAAAGGACAAAGTTTAGTGTTTTTGCAACAAGACCTGTACCACCCGTTTAATAAATACGTCAGAAAAAAACCCATGCAGACACAAAGCATTTCAGACTTTAGTAATCATTTTATTACACAGTTTTAATCAACACACAAAGCTCAACGAGCCTGTCAGGAAATTAAATATACAGAAGTTTGTCTGTGAGGAGTTTGTGTCCTCCCACCTTGGGACCCAATCGAGTCTGGCTGAACCATGTTAGCATCTAATTCAACAAGAGCAGGAAAAGGGAAGAGGAAAAAAAAAAGAAAAGAAAAAAAAGCAAACTATGAGTTACAAGGGTGGGTTGGGGGAAAGAGAAGAAACTAAAGAAAAACAATAAGACGCATGTTATAGAGACTGCTTTAAATAACTGGTCCAAAACCCTTCGTGATGGTGAATGTTTGTGAAGTTGGTCGTGGCTAAGGAAAGGGGTAGAGAGTCTGTGCAATGGCAAATGGAAACAAAATATATATATTCATAGTATTCAAGTCCATTAGAATACTCCAGAGGAGAAGACAGGAGGTCCATTTTCCTTTAACTGCTATGATTTTAAAAGAATTCCTTTGATAGATTTTATACAAAAAGACAGCCAGCATACCCCTCCCTTCTCTGCAGTAAAGAACTCAAAAAAAAAAAAAAAAAAAAAACTTCCTGATCCAATGTACAGTTGGAAGCCCAGGAAATGGAAATGAAAAAGTAAACTGTAAAAAACATATCCCTCTATGTCCAGACTATCACAAATTGCAGGGAGAAATCAAAAAATGATAATAATATAGCCCTCCCTTCCCAGTTCTTAAAAACAACAAGGAATGCTTTTAGAGCCATAAACATCTTCTACAGCAAAATTGATACGGACTGATCCTAAGCAGCGGGTACGTCGCTATAGCAACGGAGAAGGTAAAGCAGGAGCTGTGGAGTGGAGGTTTGAATTTGGGGAGGAAAAGGGGCTACAGCTGAAGTTTCAGTATGTACACCATGGCTGCCAGAGGGCTAAGAGTGGGGGAGGTGCTCTGGTGAGGGGAGGCGTGGCTTAAAGAAAGCACTCCAATGGAAACCAACAAGATCTGTTTTTTTCTTAAGCTTTTTTTCTTTTTTTTAATCTTTTGAACGTTCAAAATCTCCCCTAATCTTAAGATGGAGAGGTGTCATTTTCTCCCATCATGATTCTAACTCCAAAACTACATTGCATACTTTTGTGTCCATTCCCGAGCTATTCTGTTGTACCTGTGAGGGAAGACAAATAAAAATATCAGCTCACATTCCAGCAAAATATTTGCATGACACATAACAGGTAATACAGACTTTAAAAAGAACCTGTTGTTGAAATATGGGCCAGTCAACAACTACAATGGACTTAAACATCAGTGCAGGATTGTATATGGTCAAAAGAATGCTATTGACAATGTGTTTGGGAAGTACAATCAACTTCTCTAAAGATGGATGAAAACGTGATTCGATCCCTTTGACATGTTGAAAAATGTTGGGCATCACCAATGACTGACATGCTATTATAAAGGAACTCTTCAGTAATCCCTTGAATTCTCATAAGAATTCAGCCTCAATTGCTTTTTCCACCTACGTTTGCAAGTAACAGTAGTTCAAAAAAAAAAAAAAGATCTAATAGGCGCCTGCTGGTATTTAACTACCTTTTCTGTTGAATTTGATTATAAACAAATTGTCCTGTTCAAAATATCACACCCAGTGCAATATTGTTTGGATAAAAGAAAACACTGTTGCTTTTTTGAGCTATTGAAGACAGCTTTTTTCTTTCTTTAAAAAAAAAATATATATATTATAGCAAGCTTAAAACATTTCCACTTTTGCTGTGGCTTTACAGTCAACTACAAGGCTCAGAAAAAAAGAGAGCAAATTATTCACAAAACAAGACTTCAGAGTATCAGTGTAACCTCCATAGGGAAGAAAGGTGACAAATATAAATAGGAAACTGCGTAGGCAATAACATGCAAATGATTGCAAGACAGCACCTATGGGGAAGAGCGTTAGGGCAAACACAGTGAGTGATACTGATCTAGTGCACAGGAGGACACTCACTTTTCCCTGTCAGTCTTGTAAATGCGGGCGATCTCAGGTACTAAGGGGTCGTCCGGATTGGGGTCACACAGCAGGGAGCAGATGGACAGGAGAACTGAAGTGCAAGAGAGAAGGAAAAGTTTAAGTAAAAATAACACAAAAGGCACTTTAAAAAGAGTTGTCCTTGTTTAAACAGCTGTCATCTAATATCAGGACACTCATTCCTTATGGAATAAATTAAGCACCAAAAATCTGTTACAAACAGCTCAAATGTACATGAAATGGAAATTTAAACAATATAGTTAGAAAATGTACTCTTAAAAAAAACCCCACTAAACATACTATGTGAGAAGCATCAAATTTACCTTAAGTTGCATGCATTTACAATTAGACGCTTTAGAAACACTGAAAATATTCTCCAACATTGCTTTCTCTAGTTTTTATTTCTCTCATGTTAAAGATGCATATTTTAAACTAAAGAATCAGATTATTCACAGAAATAATTCCTATGCACTGTATGCAGACATTTGTCATACCAGCTTCAAAGGCTGTTTCATGGCAGATACAGATAATCACTTGATCAATTTCAGTTTAAAAAGGTCAGACAATTCTGTACATAACACAAAATTCTTCAATTGTACTTGTAACAAATTTCAATACCCAAAAGGATTTGGAGTGCTACATTATTTAAAGCAGTTCTCACAGCACTTCAAGCTATGAGAGAGCTTGAGCATACAAACACAATTAATTTGTGTTTGGATGCTCAATGCTTAATTTGTGTTTGGATGCTCAATGCTTAATTTGTGTTTGGATGCTTCTTGGTGGAACAGATTAAAGGTGCACTGGACAAAGGGAATATCGTAGGCGCTGTGTTTTTAGATCTGAAGAAGACCTTGGACACAGTGGACCATTGTATCTTATTGCAGAAATTACAGCAATTTCAATTTTTAAATGCAGCTCTGTTATGGTTCAAGTCCTACCTGGAGGGTAGAGAACAATGTGTGAAAGTAGGAACTGTAAAATCCAATCTGAGTCCAAATGGCCTAGGAGTGCCCCAAGGGTCAGTACTAGGACCGTTGTTGTTTTCAATGTATATAAACGATCTCCCAGATTGCTGCCAGGGTGTAATCTGCCAGCTTTATGCTGACGACACAGTTATCCATGTGTCAGCAAAAACAACTGTGCTAGCTGGGCAGCAGTTAACAAAGGCTTTACATAACATCTCAAGATGGCTTCAGCTGTCCCGTTTAACTTTAAATGTTCAGAAAACCTTCTCAATGGGTTTTTCTATCAACCGGAGGTCCCCTGACAGCATCTTTGAAGTTTATTTAGACCATGAACCCATTCAAGAGGTTCATGAAACAAAATATTTGGGTATTATAATAGATAAACATCTGAAGTTTCAAAGTCAAGTAAACTATGTTTGTAGGAAAGTCAAATAAAATCTAAACTGTTTTCGTTTTATTAGAGGAGAGTTGTCACATCACGCGGCTTTATTGTTTATGCATGCAATGGTTTTTTCACATTTGTCATACTGTATTACAGCATGGTCACAAACATCAGCGTCCACTCACTTCTCTATATAAACAGGCAATTAAGATATTTGACAAGAAACCTATGATATGGCATCATTGTGATATCATACAAAAGCACAAGCTTTTTACTTTTGAAAATTTTGTAAATTTTAGTATTTTGAAATTGACTTTTAAAGGCACACTGTGGAATTTTTGGCCACTAGGGTGCGCTCGACCTGTAATTTTCACGTCTAGTGCCCCTAGAGGCCACAAGCGCCGCAGCATTGTCGCAAAAGTCAACAAACAGTCAACCGGTCAACCTCCCGTGTCTTTATGTGTGTGCAGACGGCATTTGATTTGTATGATGGAGAAAGTTAATCGATTCACTACTGACCAAAATAATAATATAAATATAAGATTAATAATATAAATCCTATAAAGAAAACAAATTGAATAAAAGTAGCATATGCAGAAAACAATGTCTGATCAGGTAAGTCGCATTGACAAGGGTTGCCCAATCCTGCTCCTGCCGATCGTCTGTCCTGCACAGTTCATCTCCAACCCTAATCAAACACACCTGAAGCAAAC